TCTCTCTCTCTCTCTCTCTCTCTCTCTCTCTCTCTCTCTCTCTCTCTCTCTCTCTCTCTCTCTCTCTCTCTCTCTCTCTCTCTCTCTCTAGCAGCTGTGCGTGAGGAGATGGGGAGTTATGTTCACACTTCCCACAAAATCGAAATCGGTGCGTGGCGAAGTGAATGAAGAGCCAGAGAGTTCAGTTCACACTCAGGGCATCGACACACCCCTTGCCCTCATCGATTGTGCCCGCCTCACCAGATGTCTCGCCATCGCACTCTGCGTTGTCTGACAACATGCCCTGCGCACTCCGAAACCCGCCTTGGGTGACTTTTTTGAAAGGGTCCGTTGTGCGTCAGCCCAGATTTGTTTTGGCACCCGCAACTGCCCGATGCATCATCGCACCTCGTTGGCCGCAGACATCCAACAACCGTGATGGAACCAGCGCAGCAGGGGGGCTCTCATGCGGGACTGATACACAAAACCCTGTGTTTGCTTCAAGAGTACAGGGAAAAGTCTGTTTTTTTTTTTCAATTTGTATTCATTTTTGGCCCAGCTGGGGAAGCGGTCCCTGGCCACTCTGGTAAGATAAATGAGCATGAAAAAACTTAAAAACTTACTCAATGTCGGCTAGTGAATCAACCACCAGAATGCGGATATGTGCAGGCATCTGAATTTTGAAAATCCACCTGCAGAAATGAAAACCCACACAAGCAGAGAGAAAGGAGATTAAAGCGGTGCAGCCGTAAAACTTTTAAAGGGAATACTCTCCTTCACAGTTGTACTTTTTCTGACTTAATCTGAACACAATAACTGTCAGATACTTCCACGTAAGCCATAGTGTAAACACACCTAATAACGTCAAGATCCAAACAAGAATTCCTATTATTATTACTTGCTGCAGGTCAGCTTCAGTGTGTGATCTCATATATTGCATCAGACAGATGCTGTGCTTGGGTATCCGACCTATTCTTTCTGACTGAATCTGGGCGCAATAACAGTCAGATACATCCATACAAGGGTTGCCAACTATTTTTTGTAAACAAATAATCCTGCAGACATGAATTGGTTGAATTGGGATACCAACAAAGCCTGGTGCGGTGGTACCGTAGTTTATTTCACAGCTGCCAGGCCTGGGGTGGTTTCTACCCCATCGTCCACAACAGGTGTTATAGCAAATGATGCTACAAATCCAATCAGCAACATTGCCCAAAAAAGAAACCTTTCATCACTGAAGTTCATTCTCAGAATGTTGATTCACACGTCTCAATCGCTGATTCTCGCCACAGTCCGCCATTCCTAGAAGGCAAGAAGCCTTCAAAGAACCAACCTCTGCCTTCTAGGAAAAACCCTGATTTTCATAAACCTCACTTTTCCGACCAAATGCCCTCCAGCTATTTGTAAGACGATTCAACTGCCAACAGTGTCGGGATCTCCCTCCCTCCCTCCCTCTCTCTCTCTCTCTCTCTCTCTCTCTCTCTCTCTCTCTCTCTCTCTCTC